TCAAGGAAATGGCTCACACGGTTATAGAGGCTGTAACATCCCAAGTCCATGGGTCAGGATAGAGGCTTCTCCTGATTTCCGTAGCCGCAGGGGCTGGCAAACCCCAAGACTGGTAGGTCGGAGAGCAGGGCTGCTGCTCACAGGCTGTGAAGATCAACGAATCCCAAGATCAGCAGGCAAGACTGCAGGTAAGCTGCTAGCTCGAGTCCCAAGAACCAGAAGTCAGTAAAACAGGAGCCAGCTGCAGGATTCAGAATGAGCAAAAGCCCCCAGTCCCCACCAGAACATCCGCCGACACTCAATGCAGGCCACACACCCAAGGAAACTCCCCTTCAACTGATTGGCTACTCACAGCAGATCCCATCATGAGGGTGATCACATATCAGATCTCAACAGGGAAGAGACCACAACATCACAGGCCTGCCAAAACACTGAGAATCATGGCCCAGCCAAGTTGCCGCACCATCTTAACCATCATAGTCCACCCCTTGTCAACTTGGCACCTGTACACATCTCCTTAAACTATACATAATCTCTGAATAAAGACAATTATAAAACTAAAAAGAAAGAAAGAAATATGTTGACTTTCAATCATTTTCATTTTTCTTTGGAGGGTCTTAAAACCTCAGGGTTTCTAGTCTGCAGTAAATGGAAGGTGTGTGGCACAGTTTCCCCAGGTCTTCTAAAACTAAAACAGGTGAGAAATATGTGACACCCTGTAGAAATTTATATTATACTCTTTAGAAAACAGTAGGATACCAATGAGCAAGTTACAGGGAGATGGGTTTAGGCTTATTAGAAGAATGAATATACCAATATCTGAAGTTACCTGGTCCAGGCTCTCTGTGAAGTAGTGAGCAGCCTGAAAAAGAAGTCCCAAAATGGAAGTCTCCAAACAGAAGCTGGGGCAGCCAAGGCATGGCTGTGAGTATGAATTCCAGTCTGAGGGCCGCTAGTGCAACAAACTTTCTCAGACCCCCTGTGGCTTTTCACACAGGCTTCCCATCGCTCTACCGAAGAAGTACCAGCCCTTGCCCCCTGAGCCGGAGAGCAGCAGGTCACTTTTTCCTCAGAGACACACCTTTCCTGAAGCCTGGAGAGGGCCCAAGTGAGTGATCTGTTATTGCTGTTATTATTGGTGCTGGTGGAATTCCAAGGGTACTGGTGGGCTATGGGAGGGTGTCTTATTACCTAGGGCTGCTGTAACAGAAATACTACAAGTCAGTGACTGCAAAGAACAGACGTTTATTTTCTCACAGTTCTGGAGGCTGAAAGTCCAAATCAGGGTCTCTGCCATGTTAATTCTTTCTGTGAGCCTCTCTCCTAGTTCTGGTGTTTGCCAGCGATCCTCATCATTCCTTTGTTCATAGACGATCCTCATGTGTCATCTGTCTTCCCCTGTGTGTGTGTCTTTGTATCTATTCTGGTCTTCTTATAATTCAGAAGTAATTAGGTTTAGGATGCACCCTACACTGGTGTGACCTCAGCTGATTGATTGACTACATTACATTATGGAAAGTGATTACATTACATTATGTACATTACATTACATTACACATTTTAAAAAACTAAGCCAGTTGCCACTCAGTTCTGACTCATGACAACCCCATGCATGTCAGAGTAGAACTGGTCGATAAGATTTTCATGGCTGTGACTAGGCCTTTCTTCCAAGATGCCTCTGGGTGGGTTCAAACTGCCAATCTTTCCATCAGTACTTGAGAGCTTAACTATTTGTGCCACCCAGGGATTCCCACATTAGACATTACATTATAGAAGGAAATCTGCTTTGCCAAGGCCAACTGATTTAATCACATGCAATCACTCCATGGCAGCAACTAGACTACTGTTTGGCAAAAAACACTGAGAACCATAGCTTAGCCACGTTGAGACATAAAATTAACCATCGCAGGAGGTGACAAGAAAAACCAAACAAATCGCCTCTCTGAACAGGCTCCCAAATGTGGAGGGAGAGAAACCAAATAAACCTTAAGGGAAAATTGTCTTAGAAGCCTGAAGTTTGATTCTTTCTAGAAAATACAGCTTCTTTCTACTAAAATGAGTTATTGAAAGAGTTGCTCACTTGAGGTCTGAATTAGTTATTCAAGAAAATGCTAAATGCCAAACAGAATCAGGATATGGTTATATAAAAACCATAAGGGGGTCCAGACTATTCCAGGATCAGTATTGGCCACCCGGCTTCCCATCACCCAGGCTGGAGGAATATAACCATGTGTGAAAACCCATTTGTCAAAAATGTTATTGCCTTTTTGACAAATAAATATTAAAAAAACAACCCTCTAGTGTTGAGTGCTGATGATGGACTCCCGCTCTGGATTGTGTGGGATGTTTGGCGGCAAGCTCTAATCACAAAACGCAATGGACGAGACTGGGCTTTTTTTTTTTTCCCCAAGAGAGTTTGAATTTTCAAAATTATCTTATTTTGGAAGTCAGAACAGAGATTGGCATCTACCTCTTTTTCCTGTACAGAATGAGTGATGCTTTCTTACAGCAAGCTTGATTCAGCAGGTTGGGGCACAAGGTATTGTTTAGTCAGCAAGCATTTCCCATGGATACAGAAATTCAGAATATCAAGCTCCTTTTGAGCATTTAAGGAAAACTCATTCATCTCTGGCTTTGATGAAAACGTCATTTCTCTCTCTTAATTGTCTGATAAATTGTTTCTTTATCATTTCACCCTTTAAAGCCCCACACAAACGTATGTCTTCCAAGAAGCACCCCCTCCTTCTCCCCACTTCCCGATATCTTCTGTGGCCTCTTCTCAACTGGTACAGCGTGGTAGGAACAAACAACAGTTCTTGAGTCTGGGTTCAGACTACCTAGGTTGAAATTCAAGTTCGACTTCTTAGGAACTGGCAGATTTGGGACAGCAGTTCTCAACCAGGGTGACTCTGACCCCCGGGGGACATTTGGCAATGTCCAGAGACATTTTTGGTTGTCACAACTGTGAGAGTGTTGCTACTGACATCTAGTGGGTGGAGGCCAGGGATGCTGCTAATCACCCTATAGTACACAAGGCAGCCCCCTCCCACGCAATAAAAAATAATACGGCCAGAGGCCAATAGTGCAGAAGTTGAGAAACCTTGCCTTAGAGCAAATTGCTGATCTCTGAGCTCAAGCAGGAGAAAGACTTGGAGATCTGCTCCTGTAAAGATTACAGCCTAGAAAACCCTATGGGGCAACTCTACTCTGTCACATGGGGTTGCTATGAGTCAAAATCAATTGGACAACACTTAACAACAACAAAGTGAAGATAATAATAATGCCTACCACCTACCTTGTGGGCTAATGTGAGAATTGAGATGATTTCCATATAGTGCTTAACAGAGCCTGCCTGACACGAATTCATAACCAACATTTATTGCACTCTTATCACTCCCTTGAGTCCTTTTCTATTGGTGCCTTTGTCACCCTATATAACATGTCTGGGTACAAGTCTGTCTCTTCCATCCTGAAAGGAAAACTAACTCATTTCTGTATTTATATTTCCAGGCACAGTGCCTGACACATGGTGTTGCTGTTGTTGTTAGCTGTCATCAAGGTGGCCCCCAACTCATGGCGACCCCATATATAATTAGAATGAAATGCTGCCCAGGCCTGCACATCCTCATGATGGGTTGGATCAGACCACTGTGACCCATACGGTTTTTACTAGCTGATTTTCGGAGATAGCCAGAACTTTCTTCCTAGCCTTTCTTAATCTGGAAGGTCCACTGAAACCTGTTCAGCATCATAGCAACATGCAAGCCTCCACTGATAGAGAGATGGTGGTGTGCATGAGGTGCATTGTCTGGGAATTGAACCCGGGGCTCCCACTGGAAGGCGAGAATTCTGTCACTAAACCATCACTGCCCCTATCACCATAGAGTCAGTTCCAACTCATAGTGACCCTATGTATAACAGAACAAAACACTGCCCAGTCTTGTGCCCTCCTCACAATCTTACTATGTTTGAGCCCATTGTTGCAGCCACTGTGTCAATCCATCTCATTCAGGGTCTTCCTCTTTTTCGCTGACCCTCTACCTTACCAAGCAGGATGTCCTTCTCCAGGGACTGGTCCCTCCTGATAACATGTTCAAAGCACGTAAGACAAAGTCTCACCACACTTGCTTCTAACGTGCATTCTGGTTGTACTTCTTCCAAGACAGATTTGTCATTCTTCTGGCAGTCCATGGTATAGTCAATATTCTTCACTAACACCATAATTCAAAATTCTTCTTCAGTCTTCCTTATTCATTGTCCAGCTTTCACATGCATATGAGGCGATTGAAAATACCATGGCTTGGGTCAGGCACACCTTAGTCCTCAACATGACATCTTTGCTTGACACTTGGTAGATGTTTCATAAATATGTACTTCCTTCTGCAAGGAGCCCCGCTGGTGCAGTGATTAAGCTCTAGTGTGCTAACCAAAAAGTTGGTGGTTCAAACCACCAGCCACTCCACGGGAGAAAGATGTGGCACTCTGCTACCATAAAGATTACAGCTTTGGAAACCCTATGGGGGCAGTTCTATTCTGTCCTATAGGGTCACTGTGAGTAGGAACCGACTTGACAGCAACGGTTAACCGGTATCCCCGTGCGTGTGTGTGTGTGTGTGTGTGTGTGTGTGTGTGTATCTGAATTGTATCCCCCAAAAATATGTATTGAAAACTTAACTCCTGTACCTGTAAATGAAATCCTGGTGGCACAGTGGTTAAGAGCTTGGCTGCTAACCAAAAGGTTGGCAGTTCGAATCCACCAGCTGCTCCTTGGAAACTCTATCAGGCAGTTCTACTGTGTCCTACCAGGTCACTATGAGTCAGAATCAACTCAATAGCAATGGGTTTACGGGTGCCTGTAAATACGGTGCTGTTTTGAAATAGGAGTTTTCTACTGTTATGTAAAGAGGCCGTACCTGTGTAGGGTGGGTCCTAAACCTAATCACTTCTGAGTTATAAAAAGAGCAGAATAAACACAGAGACACATACTGGGGAGAGACAGAAGCCAAGGAACGCCAAGTAATGCCAAGGAACTCCAAGGATCACCAGCAGACGCCAGATACTAGGAGAGAGGTTTACAGAAGGAATCAATGAGGCTGAGACCCTAATTTGGACTTTTAATCTCTAGAACTGTGAGGAAAAAAAGACTGTGTTCTTTCAAGCTACCCACTTGGGGTATTTTTGTTATGGCAGCACTAGGTAGCTAAGACAATATATAATCTATTTTCAAAAAAAATAAAAGTATTTCAAAAAAAATAAGAATACTTTTCCCCAGTATCTGCTTTAGTTGTTCTGGGGTAGAACATGGGGATCAGTAGTTTTAAAGCTCCTCAGGTGAAGCTAATGTGCAGCCAGGGCTGAGAACGCAGAAGAAATCAGGTGCTAGGAATACACCTGCCACAAGAGCATCTAAGGTCCTCAGGCCTTATCTGGCTGTGCCTCAATTCTAGTGTATTAAATAATGCTTGCCGATATTGGTGATGGTCACGCAATATGACGGACATAATGTCGCTGAATTGAAAAATGTTAAATTGGTAAATGTTGTGTTACATATATTTTTACAAGAGTAAAAAAATTTTTTAAGACACAATAATAATAATAATAAAAATGCTCCCGCTGTGGCCGGGGTCACGCCAGCCTACTGTGCAGTCATCTTCATGGTGGTAGTGTTGTTAATCGCCACCAGATTGACTCCAACTCACGGTGACCCCACATACAACAGAACAAAATAGCGCCCCTTCCTGTTCCATCCCCGTGATCGTTGGTATGCTTGAGTCCCTTGTTACAGCCACTGTGTATTTTGAGTGTTTTCTAACCTAGGGGGCTCATCTTTCAACATTATATTAGATAGCATTCTGTTGTGATCCATAAGACTTTCGTTGGCTAATTTTCAGGAGTAGATCTCCAGGTCTTTCTTCCTAGTCTGTCTTAGTCTAGACGCTCTGTTGAAAACTGTCCACAATGAGTAACCCTGCTGGTATTTAAAATTCCAGTGGCATAGCATCCAACATCATAGTAACATGCAAACCACACAGTATGACAAACTGACAGATGGGTGGTGGTAGTCATCTCAGTGGTGTTGGTATCTTTAGAAGTTTGCTTTTTACTTCT